CTCGTAATCTAGTGACGCGAGTTCGAGACGTGGTATCGGTGAGACTTTTGAAGTGAAACAAGCACCGTCATTGCTAAGTTAAGCAAAGGTGGCCTTCCAGCCTAGTAACGGCGGGCCTGGCAGATCCATCGTTGCTAAGCCTTCAGTAACGCCATCTAGACCTGACGTTAGAGTATTTCTCTGGTTGTGGCCTGTCACGCGGGTATTGAATACAAAGCAAAGACACACAGCCGTATTAGGTTGCTGGCTGGTTGCAGCGAAAAGGATGTTTGAAACCAGACGCTGAAAACATTTCTAGAAGACACAATCAATTATTTTAAAATCGGGTTCCATAAGCTAAGAAATATGAGTTATATATAGCAATGTTAAAGTCTACAAATAACAGTTTGCTTGATGTGCATTGATATAAACAGTAGCGGTTGCCTAGCTGCTCGCCTGACTGCCTACGGTCGGGTGGACCTAATGTGGGTTTCTTTAAAGTAGTAGTAGTACGATGAGGGTCTATGTTTTTACTAGGTTATGTTTACATCAACAAAATAGTTTAAGGTGAATCTTTGATGAGATCTTTGTTCTTAGTGTAAGGAAGGTTTGAATGATTTGTTGTCAACGCTGTTCTATGAGGTTTTTTTTCTTCGCTGATGTCAGTGGTTTCGGAGTCTTGGTTCGAATCTCTTCTTTCATTTGGTGGTATTTCGCGATTTCGACGTCACCAAATGAAACTCTTCCTCGGAGATTTTGCTATTGGTGATCGCGTTGGAAATATGACCGCTGACCATGTTTAACTTGGCCGCCCAGAACCCTGATCTCGTCATGCTTCAGCGCTTTCCATTGCAGACGCACGATGAAATGAATTAAAGTATTACTCCGCCAGGCCCCCATACCCCCGCCGGTTATTTCTAACCCGAGGACGACGGGTGTGGCCCGATGGTGGATATTAAGCCAACGCCTGCTATGCCTAATCCCATGCTAACTGCCACGAGAGATGTGTCTACACTGGTGATGTCATTGATGGCTTGATTGTATTTTTGTGCAATCAGAGTTGCACCTCACGTTCTCATTCCAATTGGTGTTTAATTTCGCTGATCTTTCACAAACGAAATCCATCCAAAGTTTCTGAGCGTTTGAGCCATCGCAGTCCATAGCCGGATACAATCCCATCTCGAGTGTATTATAAGTTAGGAAATAAGCTTCAATTGGTCCTCCGTCAATATTCGATCAATGTACTTTTAAGCTGATGAGGTGCATGTGCTTGGATAAATGAATGTAGTCGAGTAACATGTGAGGCTTCGAAAAATTATGACCCCACTCAAGGCTTGTGGTGGGGGCTCTTCCTTAGTTGTATATAAATACGACAACGTTTATTTTGATGGATATCGTACAGCGTATTTTTAACCCCAACAGAATGCTCACATCTTCTGCGTGGGCATCTCTTTGAAAAGCTTCAATAATAACTGTAGAACCTTGTATCAGTATATCTTCTTTATTCTAACCATTTATGTTTGTTTTCCGGACGGACGACTAACATACAGTGGAAACAGCCTAAGTAAAGACCGCTAACTAAACAGACCTGATAAGTAAACACTTTTCTTTGGTCCCCGCAAATTTCTTCATTAATTATTACTATTAGAGTCTGGTTAACTAAGCTCGGATAAGTCAACAACAGTACCACTTAACTAAACGTCTTCTCGTGGTCCCTGGAAGTAAATTACTTAACAAAGAGACTGGATAACTAAATTAGCGATCACCACATAATCCGACATGAGGGGCAGTCGTGTCAGTCTCCAGTCAAACAAGCATCCTACTTTACAGCTCGCTGGCGTTATGCAGTTGACAATACACGGCCATCCCTGATAAGTTGTTCATTGTTACATATGCATACATATACATGCATATGGTTGTCATTTTGCAGGTTTTATAAGCTTGGATAAGTAAAATACCTAATACGTAAACAATTTTGGCGAGTCCCTTGAAATTTTACTTATCAGGTTTCCACTGTATCATCCGTTTGATCTTGTAATTTTTTGACCATTTTTGTACCTGGAATAAAAGTATTCAGTACAACCCCCTTATTTTTTAGTTTGAGGATATGACAATCCTCATCCATGACGAGATAGGGGTAGGTCAGGACTATATTGATGAACCAGTTCAATTCGACGATGACTTCAACCTTGGTACATGTTGTCTTGCAAGTGCAGGACGTACAAGGCGTTTTCCATACCAGGTTCGTCAAATCCTTGTGTGTCCTCGCGATCGCACACAATGTGCGACTGTTATTACAACCACAGTACGGCGATCGATGTGAAGTGCTGTGCACGGACATGGATTCACCTGCTCAGGAAATTTGTACCGAGGGCCGTGAGGAGGACATGGTAAAACACAGCCACATGTATGACACCAGCGATTACCCCCCAGACAACACCCTACACAGAACAACCAATAAATCCTTGGCAAGATGAAGGACGAATGTGCGGTGAAGAAATACGTGGTGTAACGACACATCCAACACACCCTATTCAAACAGGCTCCCTTCGATAAACGCACGTTCAAACACCCCATGAACACGTTGAGAAGCGACAAACACAACATCTACAGAATCACTCTAAACAAGACCTCGCTGTTGCCCCTGGATACCAAACGATGAATTGCGAATGATGGCATCCACACTTATAGCTATGGGTACCAACAGTTGACCTCGACGCATTGGGTGTTTCTGACACAAAACGCACAAGTACGCCATGACCGTCGTTGACGTCGCCATTCGCTACAAGGAAGCGGAGTCGTTGACGACCAAAGATTCGAGTCAAGTCGCCAAGGCCTTAGAACGCATCTACAAACGCAGTCGCTTGACCTGGCCGACCGAATTACAAGTCGATCCCGGACGCGAGTTCATGGGAGCCGTATCGCAGCTGTTATCGAAGCATAAAGTCCAGGTGAGACGAGGTGTGGCCGAGCTCACCGGGCGAAGCCTATCGCTCGGAAAGATTTAGCCTAGCGTTTGTTTGGACATCAGTATGCCCAAGAGATGGTAAACCAAGAAAACGATCGAAGCCATTCGAATGAAATCCGTGACGACCGAATCGGCTGTGCGATCGCGTCATGGCCAGAAGAAAAACTTCGGACCGGATCATTGTGAGGTATCTGTACCAGCTCGGTGAACTCGAAGGAGGGGATAAACGTCACACCACAGACCCCGTATGGTCCATGAAAATGTACCGCGTCGACTGAGTGGTCATCAAAGACGAGTTTGTATTACTTTGCAAGACAGACGGGGTAGGGTGTATTTGTCCGAGAGGAATTGATGATCGTCCCTCAAGAAATGGTATTGCACCCTTATTATTAAAGATTCGTCGGGCTTTGGGGTAGCCTAGTGGTAAAAGTTGGCTCATCGCGCCGAAGACCAGGGCTCGAATCCTGACATGGGTACAGTGTGTGAATCCCATTTCTGGTGTCCCTTGCCATGATGTTGCTGGAATATTGCTAAGCGGCGTAAAACCAAACTCAGTCAGTCAGTCAGTAAAGACTTCTTATGTATCTCATTATCAACATGTGGAGATTGATCGAGAAACGGTTGTTCAGACGCATCGGGGTGGACCTCAGTGGCCTCAATATTTATGCCGCCCTGCGTCGAGTCATAAGTCACCAGCCTGTACAATAGTTTAGGTCTCTTGGGCACCGAACGGTTACAACGTCTCAAGGACACGTTAATCGATTATAGCCTGACAACTACGGAACACACCGCCCCGTACTCCACCTACTCCGTAGCTTACTTGGACGAGTTCATGGAAGACCCACTCCATAAAGTCGTTGCCGAATATTACGGCTACATTTACATCCAGTCCAAACCCGTTGGCTGGCGTCGATCGGAGGGTGCCTCTCGATAGACCATCATCGTTTTAAGGGGATGGGGAACTTATTTCATAAATATAAGCCTCTGAGCGCGCATGCGTGGCAACCACTTTCGGCGAATGTTCGGTGGCTCTTCTTATAGGGATGCACGTGCATTGTCATTTGCATGAAATACGCACATAAACCTCGTTCCATCATTACTTTAGTAACTGCATTTTGACGCACATGTTTTTGTATCAAGTACAGCATCTGAAACTATATTTCCTTATACATTTGCTCGAACCAGGTCGAGCTAAAATATAAATAGTGAAAAAATTAATTAACATTCAGAAGAATCATATCTGGCAACAATTTTGGTAGGGTGACGTTTCTTTTGCGGTTCAGTATATATGCTCACACTTGCAAACTACTCTCGTGAGCTTGTGAAACGTTATAGGAATTATGTACGTATAGCTCATTTAACTCAAAGTCACTTCCAGAGACAAGCCCTCAATCCGCAGGATGAGTGAGTGAGTGAGTTTAGTTTTACGTCGCTCTTAAAATATTCCAGCAATATCACGGCGGGCGGAGACACCAGAAATTGGCTTCTGACATTGTACCACATGGTTTGTATTTTAGCTCCGAGATTTGCGCGGAGAACTGTCGGTAAAGGAGCGTGAAAACGAGGTAGGTGTCCATCAAAACATATCCACATCATAACTGTACTTATGGCTTCTGATCTATCTGAGTCTGTTGTGTAAATACACCAAAATGGATGGCTGCCTGAAAACTGTGGTGGGATAAAACTGCCTTTGTGACCACATAAATTGTCCAATTAAACAAATACAGAAACTATTCCACCACCACAAGTTATTGGTCAACAGTTCACCACATGTAAGTTTTGGGGCATTGCAGGCTGGGGCTAATGTAGCAAGAAGAAACAGAGCTGCAGTGATAGAGGCCTTGGCCGATCATAAAAGTAAAATGTCCTCAGTTGTATGTCAATGTTGTATGTCAATTGTAATCCATGCTAACATCACAAATGCGAAAGTATCATATAAACAAGATCAGGGAAGCATAAATTAAGATATGGTTTGTTATAAAAGGTTAATAGCATATATGAATTTAATTGAAATTTATACCCATTTAAAAATGATTTCCCTATCAACAGAGAGAAGACATGAAGTTAAAAATCTGGAGTCGAAGGTGAGTAATTCCCATCGAATTATGTTAGATTAGACGTAAAGGTCTTAGTGCAACTATGTTCGGCGTTTTCTCTGGACACAGTGGCCGTTTTTGCATGTTCGTAGGCCTTTCTCTCCAACGCCGTGGCCGTTTTCTCGAATTTTGTTTGGGGTCCGTTTTTTCCGTTTCCCAATTCTGGTACGCACTCATTGTATGCAAACAAGGAAAGAATGAGTTTAATGATCCAAAATTTTACAATGACCTGAATGTTCACTCTAATAAGCTTATGCCTGTTTTGTACATTTCTTTCCCTGAATGTATAGTAAACGTAAGGCAAATAATGATACAGTTTCTGACTACGAACTATGTTTGATGTTCTGTTTAGATTCAGTGTAGAGTATCAGTATCAATTCTTAAGTGTATACTATTGAACATAGATCTAGGGAAATATATGCATTATACCACACTGGCTCCCATCGGACACAACACGTGTGTAATAACACGAAATATAGCATTTCTGATGACCCATTGGCCAGCTGATGTCTGCTCTATATTTAGGTATACGGTGTTCTTATGTTATCCTAGTGACTGGGTTATCAGCAGATGTGAGTAGCCGCACAGCGAAACATTACACATGAAGGCTGAAATGACAAACTTGCCACAGCATTCCACGTCCTTTACAATTTGATAGATACAATGTTCAAACGAAGACTTTCAAGATCAGCCTGCGTGTCTCAATGAGTGACCTGATACAGTGTCACAAGTCAATTGCTCCACTGATAATGTATTTTCCTACTGATTTCATGATCTTACACCTACTTGAAGCAAACAGAATATTGTTGAAAGTAACCATGGTGTATTGTCAAATATATACATATTTATTTATATTTTGAATTTCAGATTGAGAAACTGAAAGAGGAAGTGGAAACGTTCCAACAACAAACATATGGTATTCAGACTTTTTATCAGATCTTAAATGTTGCAATATAAAGTGTATTTATTGGAATATTGCCTATAGAGGAAATGACTGACATATCTGTTACATTTTCAGATAAACGTGAGGACATAAAAAAACATCGAGAAGAAGGTAAATACAATTCTAACAGATGTACATACAAAGTATATAGAATATACGAAGTTGTCTAAAGCACGTCTAGAGTTAACAGAGCCAGTCCACAAAATGGTAGACATGCAAACATCATGACCATCACCTTTAAGGCCAGGGTGGTTTTTGGACAAGGGCCGTCTTTTAAATCAGATCTGCACACAAGGGGTCCCGTCAAAATTGGCTGTTTCCGCTTCCAGAAGGATAGCTCATTACAAACTGTTGCCTTTTCTACTTTATTACCCACGTGGTCAACGTATGGGAGTTGCATACTAATCTCGTACGTCACACGTGTGTCGTATCGCGTTGACCTGTGTCGTAACGACTTGACCTGAGATTCTAACGATTTGATTGGATAACCGATGACCTCTCAGTTAGGTCATGTTGTGACGGAACTACTTTTTCATTCATAACAAACACGTGGATCCATTCATTCTACAACTAAATGCATTGTGGGAATGTAAACATTGCGAACGTTGCCGTGTCGCTGTTTTATTGTGAGTCGAACTGAGACATTATACCCGTCGAAAAACGTAAACGCAATGTTTCCACCAGTGATGTTAGCCGAATGAAGCAACTGCAAACCAAGAAACGGGGTGCAACGGAGTAGTTTACTGTAGGAGGCTGTACGAGGCGAAGACAACTGACATGCATCGTGACGTCGGTTACCAAGGCAGTGACGTCATTACAGTGACGTCATGCAAATATTGTACTACAGTACAAAACTCTTCCGCAACCTCTTTATGAAACCGGTTTCGGTTTGAAACCAAAATATTAACAAAACTACGTTATTTTGTCAATTTAATGCATGTAAGACGCTGGTAATAAATAAAATACCACACTCGGTCTCATTACATACGAATTATACGAAACTCGTGACCTTCCTATGTTATCTGACCTCGCTTTCGCTCGGTCAGATACCATAGGAAGGACACTCGTTTCGTATAATTCGTATGTAATGAGACCTCGTGTAGTATTCTCTATGTAGCATACATGGGGAAACCTGAGAGAAGTCCCTCAGACAGTATTTTGCTGTCTTCAAAACCCCAAAAGACAGCTCTTCCAACGTCCCTGATAACAAGCAATAATGTCTTTGGCCTTTACTTATGTGTGACCAAGTGGGATGGGTCTAACAATATAACACACAAGAGTGTATACAGTTCATTCTGTATTCAGAAATGTTCTGTGTGATGAAGCACATGGAGCAGACTCTCAGTTTAGCTTCTATCTCTGTCTGCTCTCACACCCACACTGTCTTTGCCTTAAACTCTCACGCTCGCTCCCTCTCTCTTATCAGTAGATCTTTCACTCTGGACCAATACTGGGGCGACCTTTGTCCTGAGTGCCTTAAGCTAACCCCAGGCGACAAGTATTTATAGCTTTATCCCCAAACACTAGCCTATGTGTCTTAAAGGAATCTCCCCATTACCTTAAGTACTTAGGCATAGATAAACCTTACACACCCTGTTACATGTGTTACGGTTAATGATTTGCCGTGACAAAGGTTTATAAGTCCCCTTTAAACCAGCAAAATAGAACACAGACAAGTCTAAAATATTCAATAATATATTGAGCAAACAATGAGCAAACTACAATGAATGACAATACAGATATCAAGTACAATGCAATTGAGTCACAAATCTAAACTATTGGGTCACAAATATTAGACATTAACTCATTGACATTGACATTGAGAGCAGATATACTTATTGAAAGTTGTTTACAATGAGAGTAGACGAATAGGCGGTCTTGAAATGTTGGCAGACAGACTTGACGACGGTATGCAGATGACGGCAGACAGATGTGTATAACTCCAGTCATGTGATAAATCCGTTGCACAACGCAACAACCAGCCTTTGTATAGCTCTTACACAGTTCTCGAGCATTCTAGCAAAACTAGGCAGCATCATTATCCACTCAGAATGTTATCGGAATTCGTCGAACATGCGACATGACAAAACTAAACAGCCAAGGGAGGCTATCAAAAAGGCGTACCGCTAAAATACTGTTTCCATTGAACATATATGATGCAAGATGTGAGCCCCAACCCACACTCAAAACTTTAAACATTGTGACCCATAATAACTATCACTTAATCAATGTTATTACAAAGTACAAAAAAACACACTCTCGTAACACTTTCTATCTGTCAGAGAAGCTAACAGGTAAATCCGGCATAGTGTCATAATGATGGCACACACGGGCACCAGAATGCGAAGTCAAAGGTAAACCTAGCTTGATTGGTGTAGAATGTGGCACAAGTGGATGCTTCTTATCGTTTGAGGGTTCAATGAATGGTGCCTTGACACATATGTCCACACCTTTGCACGACATAGACTATATGACAGCCCGGAAGAAAGAAGAGCGCTCAAGATACCAGCTCATTTACATGTTGGAATGTTTGCACCATGACAACCAGATGTCAGCGGACCTCAGACAGAAAGACCTCTGTAATCTATAACAAACCCTAATGATTGCAAGTGGACATTGCTGTACATAGGGACTGATTAAACTAGAAAGTACAGCAGTGGGTGGGTCAATCGGGTCTGATCGTCTATACAAAGAAAGAGTTCCAGTTTCTACAGCCAGCTTTTCATCGTCTTCAAGTGGATCAACAGTCAAGAACAGAAACTACTGACCATGATTCCTGAAAGTGCTGTCGGGGTCAACGTGGAACTGACAAGATGAATGAAGATTGGTGGCTTCTCAAGCTGTACCAACACCACTGTCTGTGCAGCACCAATTCCTTCTCCTGGACAAAGCCTCAGCACAAGACGTCCAGGAGACACCTTGTTAAAAGCACTGGTGCCAGGGACTACTGATCACCAGAAGACTGCTGCAGAATCAGATTCTAGCCAAAGAGGCATCAAACTACGTGAGTGAATGTTTGGTTTTATGCCGCTTTTAGCAATATCCCAGCAATATCACGGCTGGGAACACCAGAAATGCCCATGTGAGTAATCGAACCCGGGTCTTCAGCATGACGAGCGAACGCTTTAACCTCAATGCTACCTCACCGCCCGATCAAACTAAGAGCGAGGGGAAGGCTTGTGTGTACTGAAAAGGTGTCCAGTAAGATTATCTGGTTTCAGAATCTCCAAAAGAAGATGTGGCCATTTGAGAGACTCTCCACATTGAGAGACTGCAGAGCGAAGAACAGATGGCTTGCTATTCAATCGGACTGACGTGAAAGTTCAAACTACTGTACATAAAGCCCTCATCAAAACATGCAAACATTTCTGACAAACAACTCAGCAAGGACAAACAAGATGCAATCGAGCACCTGTTGACGCTGAAACCTACTTGAGCTTTTAAACATATAACTGCAATGTTGCTCCCCAAATAGACCAAATCCTTTTTTTTACATCCATCCACTCACTCACCCACTTAAAAGACTGAAGGTGACATTAAAGTCAACCACCTCATCCACTCACTCACTAAATAAACTGAAGGTCACTAAATGAACTGAGGGTAACATAGAAGTCAACCAACCCACACCCTCACTCACTAAACACAATAGATCGGGTTTGTACTTCTACCTATACACAGTGTAATCCAACTTCCTATGTCGATAAATATGTAAGATATGTTCCAGATACGTAAGCTGATGGACGATATTGAACTCAAGAAAGACGAAATAGCAAGTGAGTAGCAAACTGCAAGATAATTTGTCAGTTGTGTGTCTCTGTTTTTAAAAAAAGAATTGGAATAATGATTTTGCAAGTGCACCCTTTTTAAAGATTATTTTTGAATGTTGTGAAATAGTTGAAGTTAAACATTTACGTTATCCATGAAATGATTTGAAAAGTGACAGCAGTATTTGTTTGTTTATGCAGAGTTGGAGGAAAACGTTATACCGGAACTAAAGAAACAGGTAATTAATTAATTCTGACAAATATTTGTTAACATAAAAAAGTAAAACATTAATTCTTATATCTTGCTATTTTGTGGGACTTATGTTTGTACACATGCGTATACAATATAGTGTTGCAAACAACATATCCAGGGAGGAATTGTTAATATTATGACATTGCTTTGTTGTTTGTTTACGGACTGATTCCCGGTTAACTCCTGTATTAGTTTCTACTGGGGAATCAACTCTTAATGATATGATCAGTGATTGCACTGAGAGGTTGTGTCACATTTGCAGATTGAAGAAGCTGAAATAAGACTTGAAGTGCTCAAAGATACTGTTGAAGGTAGGTTGAATAACTAGTGGACACGATGAATGCTAAATGGTGCCAGGCCAAGTATAATCGGTCAGCAGTCATTAGTTATCCCAACATTTCACGGGATGTTCAGTGGCAGCTATTCTAGCAATGTTCATCACTGAACAGGATTATATAAAAACCAACCAACCCAAACATTTAATGGATTCACTCAATGATTGCTCGTAGGAATGTGAGTAACCAGAAGCAGGTAGGCAACTGTCAAACAAAACCAAGGAATATTACTACACACAATATTATTACACATCCTAGATATCACCATGGTTACCACCGGCATCTTGGATGTCAATATTTTTGTCCATTCTTTTTTCACAAACTCATAGAGTCAACGACGATAAGGACCATACTCAAGTATGAAGTGTATTGAAAAAATGTCTTATGTCTTTCATTTCAATCTACAGATACGTCGAGTGCCATCCCGGCACTGGAAAAACAGGTACCTTACATCAACAGTTATATGTATGTATTGTGAAGTCACTCAAGAAGACTACCTAAACATAGTGTGAGTGAGTGAGTTCAGTTTTACGCCGCACTCAGCAATATTCCAGCTATATGGCGGCTGTCTGTAAATAATCGAGTCTGGACCAGACAGTCCAGTCATCAACAACATGAGCATCGATCTGCGCAATTGGGAACTGATGACACGTGTCAACCAAGTCAGCGAGCCTGACCACCCGATCCCCTTAGTCACATCTTACGACAAGCATGGGTTACTGAAGATCAATATTCTAACCCGGACCTTCACGGGTCCTAAACATAGTGTACCTAACCATAGCAGAAGATAGATAACAATACAATAATGTTAATGTTGTGGTGTACTGACAATGACATATTCAATTAGAGATCTGAGGACACCTGTGATAACAGGTCGAGTCAGGGAACCTTTCAATACAACCAATCATTGTCGAGGGTTCTAACCTCCTCGGTGCGAGTGAGGGAAGAATAACCGGCAAGCATATGTGATATCTTATTCTAATGTGACTGATCTTTCACTAGCATCTGACCAGTTTGACAAAATATAGAGTACTTTGTATTTTCCATACACGTCTTCACAGGATCTACGATGCAGAGACAATTGACTTCAGGTTATTTCCTTGTATTAATTGTAGGTGCGGGACCTGATACAGAAGCTCACAAAATATGGCACTGATGTAAAAGGTAAGAATATTTTCATGTTCTTCAGGACCTATAATGTCACATGGAAACTAGAGCTATGTAAATAGATGAATTAGATAGTAACCACACATGAAATATATCTAGGTTGTTTCACGTACTATATACAAGGAAAATATTTTGTCTTTTGTTTTATTTTATTCTCTAATATCAAGGTATACCTATACTATTCTTTTTTATAGATGAAAAGGAGGACATTGCGGAACTGTCCAGATTGGAATGATTATTACACATGATTTCCTCAACATTTACTTTATGGTTACTATAGAACTTAAAGCACCAAGTACTGTTCGAAAATCAGGTCTTGTTGCTCAGATGAATGCCGCATAATGTGCTAGCTCCCTCAAACTCTTTTATCAAATAACTCTAGACCAAATAGTTCATCCAAATACACTGCATCGTATTTAGGCGCAGGGGGTTTACAGATGATGTGTTCGTAGCCTGACTAATCGGCTTTATATCTCTTTTCACTTTAAAAGACGATGCTCTTGTATTGAAAGTGTCAAATAGGTTTTTACTTTGGCTTCAGCCATGTGAATGGTGTTACTGTTCTAACTGGTTTTTGAAAGTATTCAACCATTTTGTACTGATGATTAAATGCAAGGGATGTCCGAGCGCTGATAAAACAACTTCAAAGAGAGAAAAACTGAAGAGATAGAGGGCTGAAGAGATGGAATGCTTCTTGTGTCCCTGTGGTTAAGAGCAGTCTCAACTATATCAAATACATTTTTGGGGAATATGTAAACAGATCCCTTCCAGATTTGGCATGTGTCAGCCGCTGTCGTAGAACTGTTGGTTGTACAATTTTTCGATGTATTATGGGGTTAGTGGCTGATCATTTTGAGCATGTACTCCCGTTTTGGTAATAGTCTGTATTATTAGCAACTGTCATATTAACACCGCTGAAGGCGAGTTCAGAATTATGAAGTCACAGTGAGGTTGCCCGAAGGCTGACTTCAGGTTAGAGCAGATCTTCCTCTCGAATGTATGTTGACTTTCGGCAGTAGATGGAGCAGATATAGTCCACTCAGATCGTACATTACACTATGTTTCAAATTAACATTAAGAGGTATGATTCTTGTATACTCGTTTCTATTTACAGGTTCTTCAGTTGGGAAATGACCTTTCAGGTTTGTTCATTTCATTGAATTTGGGAAGTCCTTAAAGTAATTGAGTGAACTAAGTAGTCAAAGCTGCTTGTTTTTTAACATCAGGATTATTCGTCACAACTAACTGAGAAAAACAACCCCAAATAATAAGTTACTGATAATGATGTAGCTGGCCGAACAGCTGGTTTATGTTACACAGGTGATGAAAGTCCAATGTATAATTTTAGTGTATTCTTCATGTTAACTGTTTTTAAATCAAGGAATATCACAGCGACACAGATTCAGATTCCATTTAAATCCAATCGCAAATCATGTCTTTTTCAGATCGGAAGAATGATCAGAAAGCACTCGCTGAAAAGGCAGGTTTTCCTATATTGCATTTTGAAGAGTATTGAACGTGTAAATGTTTTGCCAGAGGGTGTCGGACCTCACTCACTCACCCATTCATTACGGTCGTCGACCAGTGCTGCCAAAGCCTACTGTTACCTCTTTGATTTCCACAAGTATCATTTTTATTTCCATCTTTCACTATGGATGGTAATTTTTTGTTGTTGTTGTGAATATCATGTTTATAATTTTTAATACACAAATGCAATGGCCATGGTACTGTTTATACTAAACATACTTGCACGAGTGCAGTGTTACTGTAAAGTGTCACAAAGGCTCATTGATACCTTGATTTCCGTGTTGAAGCGAAGATAAAAATGATGTTGGCTGAAGTTTCACAATGTTCTGTTGTATCAACTTCATAGCGAGGGGACGAATGGAAGGTGTTTGTATGAGCTTTTGATGAGAGAGTTATGATAACACTCCCATCTGACTCGTTCTCCTCGACACATGCTCGCACAGGAAACACCGAGTTTCACCTTCACAGACATAACACAAAACACTGACCGCGCCTTTCATCAGTATGTTTTCTAGTAAAAGCTTCTAGCAATACGTTTTTGCAGCACCTCCATATTCAACACCCGTACAGACAATAGTACTGGTTGCAGCGTTAAACAAAGAAAACGCAGTCCATTTGCAATTGTATCATATTTAACGATAGACTTTCTGTTGATGACTGACACGAAGTAAAAAAGTATATGTCTAATTATGAGCACTTGTTTGTATATTTAGTATTGGTAAGATGTGGATGTCTTCTCATATTTTGATAAATGAATGTCAAATATATAATGCTAATGTTATTACAGATGCAGAGAATAGAAGACGAACAAGCAACACAAAAGCACCAATGTGAAGGTATGCATAATACAATAAAATACGTAACGTTATATCAGGCGAATATACATACGTAATTACAAATGTTTTGTGGATATCTACTTGATTTAAATGCCTACAACCATTAAACTTATTCTCAATGACATGAATAATTATGCAACTCTTGCAGCTCAATCAAGAAGTTTATTATATATGATATCCTCTGAAGTAAATGATAATACACACTCAATGTCTTCAGATTTACGGAGAGAAAATAAAGAATTTCAAAGCCAGGCAAGTATTATTCCAAATACCTCACCATATTAATTGTGAAAAACTCACCCCCGTCAGCATATACTCTCCATGTGACAGTAGATATTTCCATCATAAATCAGCCATTACCGCATGTCGCCTGAAGACGCGTCAAAGTATATTTGGCCACTATGCATCATATCAGTTTAGTTACTTATCAAATGTATCAAACTCATCCTGCATGCCTGACGTGACCGGTTTTGGAAATCTTTGCACTTTTGTGCAACGAAACATGCGAATTTATAAAAGGTTGAAACTTGGGTGTATGGAGATTTGGTAGCTAATTAGAACTTTTCATAGATAATAAAATCTTCAGATCAAAGAAGTCATTGACTGATACATTAGAACCTTAAAAGGTGAATGCATGCATGAGTGAAGCCGTTTCTGAGTACAGTACACTTTTCATTATGCCACAACATTAAAAAAGCTCTGATGGATCTCCCTCCTTGTCCTTTCGTTCATACAGAAGATTGCAGTGGATGCACTGTCGTCCGAATCAAAGTGGTTTCACTGTATGGATATTGTTTAGAGGCCATGAATTTAAATGTAAAATAATTAAGTTTGTCTGTTTCATTGACATAATTCCATCATCATCTATAAGCAGACGAAACTACACGAGTGTAATTCTTGATTACAGATACAAAACCTCCAGAAGGTGATCGAGGAAAAGGACAACGATATCAGACAACTTAAAGGTACGTTATAAGCGAGGCAGTACATACTTCTAGTAGTTTGGTGTACGTAGGTCTTACTGTAGAGATTTACTTAGAGAAACACATGCACGTTTGCAAATCATCAGTGAAATTATAAAACACGTACACCATCAGTCATATTTTTCATTTTTAACCAAAAAGATAAAATAAATAACTATACTGTCAGTTCAAAACTGCATATAACATGTAAACACTTTTTTTTGGTTTTAGATGCAAGGACAGCAGCAGCAGAGAGCAAGGTAAATACGACATGTATTCCTGCATCCTTGTGAATTAAACTTTTATTATGTCAGGTAAAAATATTCCTCTGAATACTTAACCTATCAGGTAAATACTCCTCTGTATACTTAATATTGCAGGTAAATACCCCTCTGTATACTCAACATGTCAGGTAAATACCCCTCTGTATACTCAACCAGACAGGTAAATACAACTCTGTATACTCAACATGACAGGTACAAACTAACTACTCTGTATACTCAACATGACAGGTAAATACTTCTCTATATACTCAACATGTCAGGTAAAACAACTCTGCTTATTTAGCATGTCAGGTAAATATTCCTCTGTATACTCAACATGACAGATAAATACTTCTCTGTATACTCAACATGTCAGGTAAAACACCTCTGCCTATTTAGCATGTCAGGTAAATATTCCTCTGTATACTCAACATGACAGGTAAATACTCCTCTGTATACTCAACATGACAGATAAATACACCTCTGTATACTCAACATGACAGGTAAATACTCCTCTGTATACTCAACATGTCAGGTAAAACACCTCTGCCTATTTAGCATGTCAGGTAAATATTCCTCTGTATACTCAACATGACAGGTAAATACTCCTCTGTATACTCAACATGACAGATAAATACACCTCTGCATATTTAGCATGTCAGGTCAATATTCCTCTGTATACTCAACATGTCAGGTAAATACACCTCTGTATACTCAACATGACAGATAAATACACCTCTGCATATTTAGCATGTCAGGTCAATATTCCTCTGTATACTCAGCATGACAGGTAAATACTCAGCCTGTCAAATTATGCATCATATACTCAACCAGTCGCACTAACCTTGTATCATTACAGGTACAGGAACCTCAGGATGCAGTGCAAGAGACAACCACCCAGGACAAACACGGAAGGGAAGAAGGAAAGACAGGTTTGATCTCTATAACCTGTTGAGAACGTTATTCTCTGGTTAAATTGAACGTTTACCCAGTACCGTGTGGTCTTGCTTTAATACTGTAGTTTATGTAGCCACATAGGCTTACTGGTGTAAGGGAGGTAACTCTATACGGGAGAATAACTTCTTGTTTGATGCAGACGGGGCAAGCCTTATGCTCTGGCTTGTTCACCTTCCTTTTTACACCATCCCACCCACCACAGGGCGAACATACAATAGCATCTTATGCATGGCGAATGTGTGGTGTTTCAATCAGAACGTTCTCCATGATATTTTAAAGGTATTTCAATATGGGGCTACTATGAGCGCGTGGTAAACTGCTACTTTCTCCACCTATCGAATACTCAACACAAAGAGGCATAACTCTGTTTAAGAGACAACTGTTGATGTGCATTCGTGACCCACTCGTGTTATTTCCATTCGTCACCACTCGCCCCTTGCCCTCCAAGAAGACTCGTCCCTTAGACTAATGCTTAGTCTCTGAATATATATAATTTTGATAATAACAAACAAGCCCATTTAAATTGAAAAGGAGCCCTAGAAGGACCAGATATTCAGAACCTGAGGAAATCTAGACTTGCTTTATTTAGGGCTTTAGCACTGCAGAGAGGGCTTGGCAGTAGGGAAAATAATTTAGTTCACGGACTGTGAGACAGACTACTCGTCGCCCTATATGAATGAAGGTTTTGTGCGAAAATCCGACAAACCAATCAAAACGCATGGAAGGATTGAGGTACTTCAAATATCCCGAGTACTTAAATCGGTCATGTCATGTTCTGATTGTTTAAAAAATCTGATAAAATATATATCTGATTTATAAGAAAATAGTTAACAAAACTGTGTTGCCTAATTTGAATTTATTAGTAAGGATAGGACCACGAGCGATGACTGATTCAAATACGGTATTTCCTCTAATAAGCGCCGGAGGTAAAGCAACTCACTAACAATATTACGGTAATGACACCCAGTAAGCGCATAAGCGCCGGGCCTCTAATAAGCGCCGGGTCTGGAAGTCCGTTGAAAATTAAGCTACCGGGCTCTTATTAGAGGAAATACGTGAGTTTGGATCCAAAATGAGTGTTTTTCTGACGATCTGACGGGCTTGCTTAGGAGATTTACGTAAGCCCTCCGACATTTGTGGGTAATGTAATAAATAGCTACGAGTTTAAAAAAAAGTGTATTTATGCATAACTAAAGAACTTTAATCTTAAACACCGTGCATACTTTTCACTTCATTTGGGATATTTTAGTCTAACATAACAATGCGACAACCGATACCCTTCTTTCACCCAGCCAGTGTTGGGCCAAACAACACTGTTACTAGTTTGAATTGCTCATTGTGACGAACAGCGGAGTGCCTGACTCTGAGGGTGTGGGTTCGAATCCCGTAAAGGAACTCAACCCAAAAAAGTACTAGAATTTGCACTTTTCTAAGAAAGTGTAATCCCAAATGTTGCGGAGTTACACTTTCAGTCTTGGGAACTACCTTGACTGTTATATGATATTGATAATATTAAGGGGAAAAGCCGAGACATCTTTTTACTTTTCTTTGTCAATACTGAGGTAATTATATATTTTGCGGATAGTAACTTTGATCGACTGGCCAAGGCTCAGAGATTGACTGGCAAACGCAAACGCAATAATGTTGGTCTCGTCGCCATATATGGCTGAGATAATGCCGATGCGAAGTTAGATTTGAACTTATAATTACGACAGTTCAATACTTACTCTTTGAACACACTTCAGTCAGTACTTTCATCCCATCACGCGACCAACTTCACATTGTATAATCATAAACTACCACGTGCATTTCATATTCAACTCACTGCTTTGTTTCCGTTTATAACTGAAGAAATAAATATTAACACATAATAATAATAACAATTAAAACCAGATATATGTTCATGAATTCGTAGTCAGTAAATTAATAAAATTGTACGATCATTAAAAATGTCTGTAGTCCTCAGAGTAAGTTCTTTATTAAACGTTACTTCAATCCAACAACGATTGTAACAAGCCTTGTCGTTTTTCGTCAGTCACAAATAAGATTAAAACGAACAAAGAACTGCTCGCTGGCCACTGCCGCGAAACTGCATCTATCTGTCAAGTTACGTCATGTTGTGACGTCATATATCTAGTACTGGGTCATACCAGGGCAGGTTTTCGGAGAGGCAGAAGTGCGGGGAATGTGAATCTTGTATGAGATGTAATGTCAGGGTAAGTAAACTGAAAATGTGGAGGCAGTCATCATAAACATGGGTTATTGTTTTGTTTGTATGGGGCCATATTTGTTCAGTGACCAAATTACTAGGTCACCTTAGGTTATTAGGAAGTATTTCGGCAAATGTGTATGTTTACCACCCTGGCTGCCGAGTCTATTATTCTGAGGCACATTTGTTGTCTACTGAATAGTGAACGTTGTGAAGGAATTCAATCACGTAAACTGGGTCTACATTTAGATGTGGGTTTATGCCGAGATGGAGAATATTGGATGTACAAATTCAAATACACACACGCCTTTGTTTACATAGTGACTCATGTTTTTGTGCAGTGCATGTTTCGAAACTCAAATGTCACCTGATCAGTTACTTATGTCACATAATGTGGAAATAGATAGGCACTGATCGACCTTTGCTGTTGCTGTCCGGCAACACAGAACCATTGACAAGTCCTTCAGACCGCTTGATATGAAACATGACGTGATGTGAACGATGTCTATTAACTGAATACTAGAAACTTGGTGCACTTGCAGAAATACTGAATGAGACCGATGTATCTACAGGGCGGGGCCGGTGTATCTACAGGGCGGGGCTGGTGTATCTACAGGGCGGGGCCTGCTCCTTTCTGTTAAATAGCGACAAACGAGAACAACAACATTCTCTAACTGGACAATTTAAAGTCTTCGCTTTAAAGTAATTAGATATCATCACAAGAATATTCCATTATTATATCATTACAGCTTGCGTTAAACCTAATTGTTGAAGTATCCATATATATTTGCCAAGTATCTCATATTGCCAGCTGTCAGGGTAAAGGTGGAGTAGATTGTGACAGTTCTACATTAGATCCGGTTGTGAAAGCAAACTGGATAGTGTATCGTATATGTTATGTGTAGTAGTAGACCTCTACATAACCAGTAGCAATACAAACCAACTGGATATATTGTGTGTAGATTTAGTACTAAACCACCAACTGGATATATTGTATGTAGATCAAGTACTAAACCACCAACTGGATATATTGTATGTAGATCTAGTACTAAACCACCAACTGGATATATTGTATGTAGATCTAGTACTAAACTACCAACTGGATATATTGTATGTAGATCAAGTACTAAACCACCAACTGGATATATTGTATGTAAATCTAGTACTAAACCACCAACTGGATATATTGTATGTAGATCTAGTACTAAACTACCAACTGGACATATTGTATGTAGATCTAGTACTAAACCACCAACTGGATATATTGTATGTAGATCTAGTACTAAACCACCAACTGGATATATTGTATGTAGATGTAGTACTAAACCACCAACTGGATATATTGTATGTAGATCTAGTACTAAACCACCAACTGGATATATTGTATGTAGATGTAGTACTAAACCACCAACTGGATATATTGTATGTAGATCTAGTACTAAACCACCAACTGGATATATTGTATGTAGATCTAGTGCCTACTACTAAACCATGAACTAGATATAATATAATGAGCTAGTACGTAAATCATGACAGAATATAAAGATGGAGTACAAAAAGAACAACTGGATATAATGTACAGGTCTTGTGCATGTATTTAAAAATACAGGGTCTTGTTACACAAAAAGTAGCATCAAAGTGCATTTAACTAAGACCAGAGACCATACAATAAATGGTCTCTGCTAAGACCCTGCATAGACAATATACGCATATGTTACCATCCCCAATTCTTTAGACCTACTGCACATTATTTATAGATCTATTGCTAATGATAAGCTGAATATAATGTATGGAACAAGTATATGTCGTTTCTGAAATCTATCTGTTTTTCTTCAGCCTTTAGTGACGTGACAAGGGGGGGAGCCACTGCCACAGTGACACGAGCTGGTGGAAGTGTTGCACGTCAAGGAGGTGAGAGCAGTAGGCAGGACTGTGGTACTGGAATGTCACGCCAGTGTCAACACTTGTATCACAGATCAGGATAAGTTATTGTTCCACGTCAAGGAGGTGACAGCAGTAGGCAGGACTGTGGTACTGGAATGTCACGCCAGTGTCAACACTTGTATCACAGATCAGGATAAGTTATTGTTCCACATCAAGGTGGTGAGAGCAGTAGGCAGGAGTGTGGTACTGGAATGTCACGCCAGTGTCAACACTTGTATCACAGATCAGGATAAGTTATTGTTCAACGTCAAGGAGGTGAGAGCAGTAGGCAGGACTGTGGTACTGGAATGTCACGCCAGTGTCAACACTTGTATCACAGATCAGGATAAGTTATTGTGATGGAGTTGAAACAGTAAATACAGAATGTTTTCATTTACGTCTAAACACTGTTATAGACATTAGGTCTGAACAAAATGTACGGTGTTATTTCCTGTTTTCTATTAATAGACTGTAACATCGCGTGTACAATGTACAAGTATTTGCTGTATTGTATTGATAGACAGTGACATCGCGTGTACAATGTACAAGTATTTCCTGTATTGTATTGATAGACAGTGACATCACGTGTACAATGTACACGTTTCTGTTACAGTGACACAGAAAGACTCCAACCCCCGCCATGTCGCCGACCTCCTTGCTGCCTGCGGTGATGGGAACATGGCCGAGGTGAAGCGTGCCCTGGATCTGGGACGGGTTGACATCAACTGTAGAGGAGGAGCGTGGAGCCACACACCGGTGATGTGGGCAGCAGGGCGGGGACAGAGAGAGGTGGTGGAGCTGCTACTGAGTAGAGGAGCTGATGTGTCACTGGTGGACGAGAACGGTAACAACACCCTTCACTGGGCCTGTGTGGGAGGCGACTTTAGGACGGTGAAGTTGATACTGTCCCAGGACGGGGTGGACGTCAACGCCAGGAACAACGACGGGAAGACAGCGGTCGACAAGGCGAAAGGCTGGGGACATCATCTACTGGCGGATTTCGTGTGGCGTGCTGGTCGGCGAAGTCGTGTGGTGTGGTGCAGACAGTGATGATGCTGTTACTGACAGTGACGTGGTGTGTGCCATTCACGTCGTCGTATTTACATTGTGGGACCAAGGTTAGAATTATTGTTGTGTTTGAGGAGAAATAAAACTTGTTGAAGACATTTTCAGACATTTTGTCATTTGTTTTCATGTGGATGTTTTCATGATCAGGTAAGAAGATTGTTGACTGAGTGCAATATTTATATACAACATGAAAGTTGACATAGTGGCGGACATTTATATGTGATTTATGTGACAAACTGAGTCACAGATATGTGACAAACAGACAACAAACTGTTTGTTTACAATCTCGATCCACTCTGAGGCCATGTTCGCCCAGCTGACGGGGCGCCAAATGTACACTGACGGTGACGTCACAATGCCTATGACGTCATGGCTGTTACCCAGTTGCCAGACAGGGATATCGGAGTTAGTTTTCAGTTTGTTACAATGAACATAATTTTATTTCTCCTAATGTTGTTTTCTTGATTTGTGACATCAAGTTAGACAAAGAACATCCGTCTATATATATTTACAATCTGGTTAGTGCAAGTGTGTGGTCAACCGCACCTTCAACGTAGAAGACTTGTACATGCGAGCAGTTACACCGGCGACTGAGTTGGACAGGTCGCACAACGGGTTTTCCATTCACACCTCAATGAACCGGGGGAAAAACACAGTCAATCCATAATTATATTGAACTTGTCTAAGTTGGTAATTAATTTCTGATCCACATGAAATCTGCGTTATCAGGAAAATGCATATCATACAATATTTAATAACCAGAGAACAAATATAGTGTTTACGTCAGCTGGCTGTCTACCGCTCAGTGCCGCACTGTGATGACATCGGTTTCAAATATGTATACATTGTATACAATTTTACAACGTTCTTATATCTTCACAGTGTAACTAAATTGTATAACATTCAACTTGAGTTGATTATTTTAAACAGCGTCTTTTCAAATGTATATCCTCCTTGCCTTGCCTTGCCTTGCCTAGTCTAGCCTATCCTAGCCTTGCCTTGCCATGCCATCGGTGAAAGTGTCGGTTTGCTACTTTTCCACATAAATCATTATATCGAAGCCTAGTAAGCTCCCTGGTTTGAAATCTCGATGTCCAACAATCCATATCACTGTATAAAGTACACTTCCTTGCGATAACAGATAGATGCCATCCATGTCGATGAGTTAGATTTCCCTCCAACCAATCCTGCTGAAATAGTCAGTGTATTTGACGTCAATACCAAATGGACAGAAATGTTTAAGATTAGTTCATGCGCAGTCTGTCTTCAAAGTAACGTTACACAGAACAGTTTAGATCAAACATCTGGTTGAAAATCCTGATCCTCCTATCTGGTTATGGCCTGAAAACCAGTTGTAAGATGAATCAGTTTCTACAAGCAAATCGGAACGTAGCCCCAGTCAGTCTTCGCATACATGTTGATTATTAACTCATACATATAACGGCTCTGTTATTCCTTTTGCCATAGCGACTGATTCAGGACAGCCATTGTCCGGATACACATTTATTTCCAAACACACCCAATTATTTATTTGATGCTAATCGCCATTCTCAATCCTCATCTTCACTATCAACCCGTGCCACTCATCAGTGAGTGTTGTTTATAGGCCAAGTTTTTGCACGAAAATTAACCTTTTTGTCTTGCACTTTTTCTGCATAAAAAGTGTTTGTCAAGCAGTCTCAAAGCCAAAACAGTAGAGATATCATAAGTGACTAATTAGGACATTTGTAGCCTGAACTGGTTGTAACGGTTAAGGTACGAAGATGAGTTATTTATGGCTGTCGAAAGAACTCGGGATGTGCAGGGTTGGCCAGATAGAACGACGACGAAGCCGGAGTTCTATCTGGCCCACCCTGCACACCCCGAGTTCATTCTACAGTCTTAAAGAACGAATCTTCGTACCTTAACTGTCTTATACAACGAATATTAACACCAAAATAATATTAAACATTTTATCCGTTCAATATGTATGAATTGTTTCAAACACCTAGCAGAGATAGGTGGTTGACTGAGCCATTGTCACGTGCTCCCACAGCCTATAAAGCGCGTATTGCACGTGCACGCCTCTCACACGTGTACTGACTAGCCAACATGATGGACAGAGACGATGATCAGTTTTTGACACAGAGTCGATTTTCTCAGGAAGAATTTGATGTAAGTGTGGATGAAGCTCGAAAACATTTACCCGAAACATTTGACATAGAAACAATTCAAGAAAAAGTAAAAATGCAGTTCATTCAAACACTAAATATAAAAACGAGTGGGCAGTATCGAGCTTTCGAAAATGGCAAAATGATCTACTACTTCTTTCTATCGCTGATAACCTTGTTCTGTCGAAGGAATGCTTAACAACACAATTTTGAACATGGATTTCGATACGTTAACCGAAGCTCTGCAGTGTTTTGTATTTGAAGCTAGAAAGGAAGATGGTACTAAGTACAAATCACAATCTCTATGGTTTGGTCTGTGGAATACAGGGGTATGTGAGGCGAATGGGCAAATCGATCAATCTATTTGAGGACGAGGCCTTTCAAGGGACTGTTGGGGCGCTTGATGCCGCTATGAAGGAACTTGCTTCTACAGGGTATGAACCGGGAATGCGGGAACAGTGCCAGCCCACAGCATCGACGAGGAAGAAACGCTATGGGAAAAAGGTATTCTTTGCGACTCAAACCCTGAGCAGTTACTTCACACTATGGTATATTTGAATGGCCTACAGTTCGCGGTCAGAGGCGGACAAGAACACAAACCTAAACTGATGTGCAAAAGAAAGTACACAGGTTGTGTTTCGTCCAATAAGATAAAAATAACAAAACCTTTTGATGAAATGGAAAATGTATGTTGAAGCACACTGCAATACACGTGTTTTATCAGCAAAATGACATTGTAACCATAAACAGCGATGTAGTGATGACCACTGCAGACGGTTCCTACGACGCTGGAAGGTCAAGGCAATTTCCACGCAGCGGTCGGTAGGCCCATACATGCCAGCAGGACGAAGCCGTCTGGTCACTGTGAATCGGCTTACGTGATGACCCAATGATGTGGCTGCTGATGACGTCACCGTCAACATCCAGTTTCGTAGGTGAATAACTCGCAGATAGCGATCCTCTTGGGATGTTGTGACTCTGGAACGTCCACTTCTGGTTCGATCACATGTCTGGCCTGTCGTAATGAACCGGTTAAACAGCCGAATTATGGTTTGTCTTGTGCAACCCAATGTCCTTGCAATATCGCTGTTGAAAGCACCCATTTGTGTCATTCCTTTGGCCCGTTCTCGTTGCGCCGACGTCAATCTTGGCATTTTCTCGTGAGATTTCTGTCAAGTGATTGTTCAGTCTTCACGACAAACGGGTTTCATACTCTGCCAGAAAAGTGCTGGTGCATGGGACAATAATCACAATTTTGCAAAAAATCGTGCAAAACACGTACAAATTGTTTTTGGCAAATGAAACATGATGGTTGCGTTCTATACAATCAATGTTTTTCAATAATTTTATTAGTTCGAACGCATATTTGGGATTGCAACAACAATTACACCTGTGTACTTTCTTTTGCTCGTCAGTATACGTCTGTACAACAAGCCCCAAATTACCGGGCCATTCAGGGATGACTGCACCGGACGCAGGTACATGCTGTACCGTGAGGATGTATCAAAGGCGAACTCGGGAGGTCTAAAACACAAGAAAGCTGAGCCGAAAATAGTTAAAGCTTTTGACAACCAGCAGAACAAGAACCGCTGTTATGTGCACCTTTGGGAGAAGTATACCTCGTGATGGTAAGTGTTTAATGTAATATTGAAGCTACAAATTGAATTGTAATTCAAGAGCTGATTGATACAATACTTGGATATTTATTAAGTTTTGTTTGACAATGTTCATAATTCATTGTATCGGTCTTTCAAATGTTTAATAAACATT